TATGGTTCGCGTCTACAGAACATCAATCAATAATAATAATCTACTCAAAAATTAATTACATAATAAGCGCTAAATACTTAAATACAAATATGCTGAGCACTGTGGTAGTTAACGTAAAATGGTGGGCATAAATGTCATTTGCTATACATAAATTACTTAACTACAGTCAGTTCATTGTTCACACTGGAAACGAAGTAGGCTGTAGAACTTCTTAGCGTATACTTGGTTTCGTAGAGGCGGCGCACACTAGTCAAGGTTGCTGTGATTTTCAGGTAGTTTAAGCGACCAATTCACAATCTTTTCCGTTGGTGCGTTCGTAGATGCCGGTGCACAAAGCCAGTTGACTTTCAGACAGGAGGAAGGCAAAGATGTGAAAGTATCTTGAAAACAGGTGCAACCAATCGCCACGGAGTGCCCGACCACGTGTAACCATCAGACAACGCCCAAAACGTCCAGCTGCTGTTCAAAGCAAAATCTACCACAGTACTGACTTCAAACCACATGACTGCTCTATTTATACTCAGAAAACTCCCTAAGTGTAGCAAATATTATAATATGGCTCAAATTGTCAGTGCATATGCAAATCAGATGAACTTAAGAAAGAACAATGACTAGTGAATAAATATATATAAACTCGAAAATACATTTCTACAAGATCAAATATTGAAATATCGTCACAGTCAGTGTGTTTGTCTCAAACACGTATGACGTACATACAAATGTGGTTTCATATACAGATGGTATCTTTTTTACATTTCAAGTAATATTCTTTGTACTATTCTATTTGCAACATAGGTTGAGAATTAATTCCATCAAACTGTGTAAATTTCATTATAATGCAAATCTTGTTATTTGTTACCATACAGTTGTGTAATAAAGTTATTATTAATTAGAGCAAGACCTCTTGCCATACAAAGATATACAACACCTATAAAATACATTGTTTGCATAAAATTGTGTGGCTATATTTATATTGAAATCTGTAAATCAGAGGTGCATATCCCTCCATGACCCATCGCATAATTTAATATTACTTGATGTTTTTAGTTTGTTGTCTTAAAGATAAGTTTTTTGTCAGTATACCGTACTGATAAAATATTTCTTGTTAATTATGGTCACATACTATCCTGATTGCTGTTTGTTTTTTTGCAGCCAGTGGTTTCAATTTAAAATCTTATTATCTAGAGTTACAACGAAGTAACCATCGTTATGGATCAAAGAAAAAATATTAGTATTATTAAGTGAAGAATTTCTACAAAAGATAAAAACAATATCCTTGTACGTGTTTAAATAGTCTTCAAAATGGAACTGGTAAGTGTTTTTATTTATCTTTCTTTCTTTAGTGTACATTACATGGCTCTTGGCCCAGAGTAAAATGTACATGTTTAGTGCGTACAAAATGCAATTAAAATGTGTGCATCACACCTTTTTTTTCACAGAATTTTTGAGAAAAAACAAAAAAATCCAAATAATTGATTGCATTGATATTTAATTTTTTTTTTCTAACATACATGATAACTTGCTTCCTGTTATTTTGATATTGCCAAGTGATGGTCAATTACCATTTCATTCATCTCTGTCAGAAGTATTTATCAAAACTTGAGACAGCATGTAAATCCTGAATAAGTTACTAGTTGTCAAGTAGGATCTTGAGAGAAAAATGTGTGTCAGGGAAATTGTAAAATATATATAGCAGAGTATACATGAATAAATTGATAAATTTTTACAGTGTATGTGTACAGTTTGAATTAATTTATAAAATTTTACAGTGTATGTGTACAGTTTGAATTAATTTATAAAATTTTACAGTGTATGTGTACAGTTTGAATTAATTTATAAAATTTTACAGTGTATGTGTACAGTTTGAATTAATTTATAAAATTTTACAGTGTATGTGTACAGTTTGAATGAATTTATAAAATTTTACAGTGTATGTGTACAGTTTGAATGAATTTATAAAATTTTACAGTGTATGTGTACAGTTTGAATTAATTTATAAAATTTTACAGTGTATGTGTGCAGTTTGAATTAATTTATAAAATTTTACAGTGTATGTGTGCAGTTTGAATGAATTTATAAAATTTGACATTGTATGTGTGCAGTTTGAATGAATTGATAAGTTGTGCATATTCTATTGGATGTGTGATTTTATTGGATGAATTATATCTCTGACATTGCCTATATATAATGATACAATGACATGAGAAATGTCATTTTGATTAATCGTATAGCAGTAATATACAGGTATGTGCAAACAATGCATTGCTACCAACAAATAGTTTTATTCTTTGATATGTATTCTAAGCATTGTTTTGAGTCAACATATTAGTGTAACTATAGCAACACAAAAATTTGAACACTAAAATTATAAGGATGATTAATGATTGCAATAACCTTGTTTTTGATGTTTATTCTTAACAAAATTAAATTTGGTTTTCTTGTACTTTTGTTCATCAATGTATTATTAGCCAATTCCACTGGCCGAGAGTCATTCACTAACGAATGCGACTTTGGGGGAACCTTGGTTAAGGTCCGCAGGTGCTTGTGTTCGACCGGGCCTGGTTGACGCCAGGATAGTGCATTACAAATTGCCATTTGACAGAGAGATGGCCACACAGTCCTGTCATGTAGTCCTAAACATGAATATGACTTCTGTGGCAAAATGAACTATGTGTAGTCACTAGCACTTGCAATTTGCACATACAGTAAAAAAAAGTCAGGAGAGACAACAGTGACACCCAAACTGTCGCCTGGCACAAAAAACAATTTAAAAAAAACAAAAAAAAAAAAACATTTAAAACAAAGAGAATTAGCATACTGCTGACAGTGCGGTGATTGTAATTTGCATAAAATTACATATTCGTTCGAAGACGATTCCATCGGTTGGAGTTTTCTGTAATGTTTTTTTTTTCATAACAAATTTACTTGATTTATACAGCATTGTCAGGATTTAGTAGGAATATGAACACTGAAATAAGAGAAATATATTCAGATTAAAACTACACTATGAAACCATACAACTTCCTGTGTCAGTTGCACAACGGTCAGGGAAAAAAACAAGATGGCCGACATTGCTATCTGGGAGTAAAATATCTGCAAACTTTGATAAAATGAAACTAACATCGTTTGAACTATATACCATAGTGTTCTCACGAAAGAATATAATGTACAAAATAAACTAATGGAACATTCAGAAATGCTTTTTTGGGGTACAAATCTTCGTTGCCATGATGGACATCAGACACAGACTTATGATTACCCTACTGAAACAATGACATTTTTCTACATATTAGTAATAGTAGTATTTAGTATTTAACCCACAGAAATGATAACAATGTAAACTATAAATATTAATTTAACAATGCGTTGTACCAGAGGTACATTACTTGGGGTTTGCAACGCGCATAGTACTGTATGGTGGCATCATGTCAAGATCCCATTCAAGTCTCATCTCGTAAATAGCGAGACTGAGGCTACGACCTTCTGACATGAGATAGGCGGTTTGTAATAAAATAATAAAACATGTATTACAACATTCATAGTAAAAAAATGTAATACATCGAAAATGTAAAGAAAATATAGTTATCGTAATCCGTCATATCGTGAGCAGCTATTTTGATCCACCTGGACATCCCAGTATCCTAGTTACCTCGGGCATGCGCATTCGAATTTTTCTGAGTTGGAACACTTATGAGAGAGCGAGATTGAAACAGGATCTTGGTATCATGTCACCGTAGTTGCAAACCCCAAGTAATGTACCTCTGGTTGTACTTAAATTTAATTTGATTCGATTTTTCAGCAATTTTCCTGAACTGTTGCGACAATTAAAGGCAGCCAAAATGGCTAACTAACCTCAAAAAGTTATTGTCTTAAGTTATGATTGAAACTAGTTATGATAACTGTTGGACAACATTAAAATACCCAAACAATAATGTAGTAACGAATAATAACATTTTGGAACATTCGCAGACAGGGTTTTTGGTGTACAAAATGCAATGGTCAATTCCGATTCACAGACGGCAAATCTGTCAACAAAAGAAACTATCGCTACTTTAATTTTTTTTCAAGAACAACAAAACCTTGAGTATCACACAACATTCGCACAGAAGTTGGTGATGCTTCAACATCAATCTTTTGGTTTAATGACCTTCATTTTTTCAATTTAGTGGATACACATGGAAAACAAATGGAGATAACAGTATAAGTGATGACATCATAGTGGTTGGACATGCATCAAAGTGAAGTCAATGGATAATTAGCATATCTAACCATGATATACCGGTAGTCATATATGCTTTGTTAGACAGTCCCTAATGTTTCTCTAGATTCTAAGAGCAATTCTCTGTGTATTTTAATAGTTCATCTACTTGTATAAGATAGTCAGTTCTTTTCAGATTAATTGACTTTTTCCATGTTGCTCTGCAAATATGTCATTCCTGTGATTCAAACTGTTTGGAGTCTGCGTACAGTGGGGTAAAAAAATCAATATGGCGGCTACATGTAAATTTAAATGAAATGTGGCTTCAATGAGTCTTGAGAGAATTGGAGGGGTTGAATCTTTGTTTCTTTCTCAGATATTCCCATAACTTGTCGCACCCTATCACCTGTTAATTTAGTCAATGCCAATATCTCACAATGATGACCAGAAATAGCAATGCTCTACAACAGTTACAAATTTCAACAAAATAAATTTCTGTTATAAATTGGTTAAAAAAATTGATCGTCTATTAAAGTAATATTATTAAGTCACCATGCAGTATAATACAAAATGTACTTGGCTGCTTAGACAACCACTAGAAGAACTGGTTGTCATGAAAATGTAGCTCTTCAAAAATGTTTATTGATTTTTAATCTAAACAAATATTACGAAGTACTGGTCTATTATATCTACATGTATCTGGAGGTAAATAAATTTACTGTGACCTCAAAAAATATTGGAACAGCAATATGGCAGTGTAGAAACAGTTCAGCTAATGATATAGCTATATTGCTCACAATGTAGTCATTGCTTCCTGTCATTGGCAACACTTTGTGTATTGTTAGCTATTGTGTTAGCAACTCAGTGTCTCATACTGCAAGCACTTAATTCCTTTAATTTTTTTCCAATATCGATCTTTTGACATTGTCCCTAAAAGCACTAGGCAAATTATAATATATTGGGATAAGGGATATGCCAGAAAATGCACAAATGAGCAAAGCATATAAGCTTGGTTTGAAAATGGGGTATCTAGTGTGATTCAAATATGGAATGAATTAAAACTCAATATCTGGAAAAACAATAAATTAAAAAACAGTAAAGTGAAGCTCAATGCCAGAAAAGATGCAAGAAATTCATGCACAATGATGACAACGGCACAGATCATAAAAATAAACTGTGAACTCACAGAAAAGTAACAGATTTTTAGTCCCAGTTCGGACGCAGTCCGAAAACGAGGATTTATGTTTTGACCTCCGTGCGTCTGTGCGTGCGTCTGTGCGTGCGTCCGGACCTGTATCTTAGAAATGCCTGGACCAATCACAATCAAACTTCACACATACATCATACATGATATCATACATATGCATGTCAATTTGTTTCATGATCTGATTCAAGATGGCTGAATGGCGGCCATTTTAAAAAATCATAAAAAGCAACCATTTCTCAGCTGTTTACAGATGGATTTTGCTCAAACTTGGTATATACCTTAGACATTATGGGACCTTGATGCAAATAATTTTGTTTTTCAGATAACATTTAAAATGGCTGACTGGCGGCCATTTTGTATTAATCAATGTGTTCTCGTGCCATATCTCCAGCTTGTTTTGACTGATTATGTTCAAATTTTAAATATTCATTATACATCATGTCATAGATATATTGGTTTGACGATCCTATTCAAATGGCCAAATGGTTGTCATTTTTGTACTAAAAAATCGTCAAATATCAAGCATTTCTGG